TAAGAAAGTCACTTAACCAGATTGCTAAAAACCTTTTCTAGACACATGCTGTGTGTCCTGATTTTTGTACTCTTTCTTGAAGCATCTGTTCTTGGCTGTTGTCAGCATTACTCTGGGTACTACTTACTTCTACTTATGTACGGACTTTTTGGTTTTGACTCTTAGGACCCTTTTATCAAGGACTTGAGTGGTTGAGGTTCTGCATACTCATTGTTAAATCCTGACGGATTCTGCTTATCAGAAAGGTGACTGTGCAACCTGTAAAAATACAGCCCTTATAAGCTATCACAGAGACAGAAGCCCCTGTCTGAAAATGTTTACTTTTATCTGCTTGTTAAAGGAGGCTTTAAATGTAGAGATATGTGCACAGAGTTGGCAAGGTTTCCAATTCAATATTTATCAAGAGTTAATTCTTGTTGTAGAGATGTCAGACAAACAGTGCTGCTTCACCTCATATTTATGAGTGTCTTAAAGAGATGAAGCTATGGCATTCTGCTATGCTTTTTATGTCCCACTTAGAAATAGGCCAATTTCAAAAGATTTTCAGGCTTAGATGGTTTGTGTAATCATCTCAATTTGAGCTGGAGGTCTTTAGAAAACAGGCACTCTCATGAGAGTGCTGGTATTTCCTGTTTCTCATCAGAGCAGAAGTACAGTAGCTGAGGAAGAGCTTTTCCCTTAGCACTGTTTCTGTGTTTCTGGCTGAAGCTAGGAATGCCATAGTGCACAGAAATGATGGCAGGGGGAAAATAGTGTAATTTATTAGAATGATGGAATCATTGAAGTTGGAAATGACCTTTAAGATCATGTAGGCCAATTGTCAACCCATCACCACCATGCCCACTAACTTACTGGAATAAGCCTGAATTCTTAGGAGGAGTGACCAAAACAAATGCATGTTGTCCCACCCAGCATACAGCCAAAAGCAGCCATCTGACAAATAAATGAATACAGAGTTTGCTCCTTGCTGAGGTGAACCAAATCCTGCTTATTGTGAAGCAGCCAAGGCTGCTGACCAAGACAGAAGAAATTTTTATTTAGTTTGAGTTTGTACAGCAGCACTTCACCCCTTCTGGATATTTTGATGCATCTATCTTCCTAATTAAAGACTGATACAAGTTTTTTGAGTTTACATGTACATATACACATGCTGTAAAGCTCTTTTTCATAAAACCCTGATGTATGTATTTTTACATTATAAAGATGTAAGTATTGCACAATAGCTCTCAACAAATTAACCATAAATTAACACAGAAAGGCTAAAAATACACATCTGATAGTATCTCTTAATGAGATGCACAATAAATTCGTACAAGGCCTTGCTGGTTTTCTTAAAAGTGATCACCAAATAGCTTTCACAAAATTTGCAGTTCTGGATATAAACTCATAGGCTGCAAACCAGGAAGGTCAGACATCAATTTCAGACAAGTACAAAGCAGGCAAGTTGGAACCAGCACAGATTACTACTGACGCAGAGCTCTGTAATAACACAAGGATGCCATTATGTGTGTGTCCTCAAAGTACACGTGTACACATTTTATGTTTTAAAAAAGTCACATAAAAATAGGCGGTATTCTCTTTTTGTATGTTTACATACTCTAATGGCGAGTTTGTGTGTATTTATTTTATTTACATAAAGGACATATATAGACATGTTTATTGTATTTTATGTATAAGTAATGCTGAGGAGTGTGTAGGTTTGGCTTTCTTTATTTCAAGTGTATTCCAGACAGACCAGCCATGGCTGCTGTCTTCACTTTGCTGATCGCATGATTTTGCTGTGGTGAATATATGCGTAAGTGAGGTTTTTCTTGTGGATTTCCTGCAGGCTCTGGGGAGTTGCAGATTACGTGCAGGTAGAAAGACAGTTTACTATTCCGGATGTTAAGACATGTAGATGGCTTCTGAAATGTTTTATTTAAGATGTTCGTCTTCTGATATATTAGAGGAAAATCTAGTGTGAGTGCCCCAGACACAGTACCTAATTATCCTATCAGTGATGTGTTGCTGTGCTATAAAGCCGTTTCCTGTGTATAAATCAGCAGCAGAATCAAACTGATACTGCTGCTGATTGGAGACATGTTAGCACCTTGACTCCAGATCTTATCCTAAAAATGAAAAACAACCTCAAAGTGATATACATATGTCCTCAAATTTCTAATAGTTTTACTGGCTTTACAAGACTGTGCCATTACAGCTGGTACTAGGAAGATTTTCAAGTTGAGGTGAAACAAATACCTCCAAATCACAAAGGTTTTCAGATAAGAAAGGAAAGTTTATTGGACTTAACAAAGCTACTGCTGTTTGTGAAAAGGCTTTTGGCTATAAGAAGCTCATTCAGTGAGGGAAGTGAGGTTATGGAGAGTGAATAGTCAATCTTGAGGACTTTGAGATTCTCCACAATCATTAGGTAATTCTACCTCTGTTTTAAGCAGCTTTTTTGGAATCTGTGATGGCCCAGGTCAGTTCTGTCTGTTACCTGACCTTTTTCAAGTCCATTTCTCTTGGTGAATTTGGAAGAATGAATTAGCTGCATGGATAATTATGAAGCATTTCTGAGAAGGAAATGTGTCAAAATGAGGTTCAAACACGCTGAGAAACTGGCTTCCAAAAATCAGTAGACAACTGTCTAAAACTGACATAGTGGTGGAAATACTAGAAAGGGAACTGCTGAGAGCAGACATACACATCTTGAATGTTTCAGTCCCTGAATCCCAGACATAATCTTCTCTGGGCTTTAAAAGTATGTATATATTTACTCTGCTGAAGTGTGGAACTCAGAGCTTTTACTTAAAAAAGCAGCTGAGCACGGCTCAATCCTTTAAGGTATGGCCAGAATCACAGGTGATGGTCCCATCTTTTGTAATGTAGATTACTACTTTGAGGACTTGCTCTGAAAACAAAAACCAAGATTTTGGTCAATAGCTTTCCTTGCTTAGCGGCTTTTAGGTACAACTTTACCTCCTGTAATGGGAACATGATCAGAGACTAAAGAACGCTGAAGGAGAGAGAACACTTTTTTTCATTGCATTCATTGAGAGCATGCAGAAGAAAATCACTAAATTGGGAATCTTCGGAAGAAATTAAGATTGTTAAATTTTTTTGTATGTGAGTGTCTTGCTTCTTACTGCCTTTTCCTGGGAGAAAAATCTTCTGGTCTTTAATCCCTCTTCTGAGCATCATTCTTTGTTTTAATAGAGAAGAATTATTTATTTAAATACAAAAAGAAGCTGAGGAGATGATTAGGGTGGTTCTGAATAGAAGGTGAAATTGTGATTATCCTAGCTTATGGAATATAATTAATAGAGCATGGGCAGAAGCTCCTTTTCAGGTCCCCTCTTTGAAGAGAAAGCCACTTTGCTACTGCATTTAGAGAGGCCCTGAATTTCCAAGTGTGTTTTATGAATAGTTTGGGAATATCTATCACACTGGGATCCTCATGTGTTTTAGCTGAAATCTGTCTTCTGGATCCTGGAACTGATCCAGGCATTAAATTGTCCCATATGTTTAGATATGGGCTACTTTCGTCATCTTCAGAAGAAAACAGACGGCTCTAATGCAAAGCATGAAAAGCAGAGTGTGACTGGGTTTGCGATTCAGATTGAAGTACATAGTTACCACCTAAATCTTACGGGCGCCTTGGGTTCACAAAGCCATTTTGACTTGCAGCTTTTTTGTTTTTCTTTCATTCAGAGCCTGTTCTCTTCTATTACTGTTATTTTTCGTTTATGATGGAACACTGCAGGATTAGGAAAATTCTTCAGTCTGTGCAAACATCTTCTGTAATTGTTTGAAATCAAATGTGTATATATTTCTGCAGAACTAGGTGTCAACATTGTGTAGATTTTACTTCACTGTTTCAAATGTATCCCTTATAATACATGCGTTGTAGGTTAAATTGTACCAAGGTATCAGGAGTACACCAGCTGAACAGGGTTCTCACTGGCAGTGATTTTTACAATGGCTTCATGTCTTGCACTAAGGTGAAGATTTTAGAAAGGGATCTCTGAGCAGATTTGAGCCATATTAAATCATAACCAGACATCTAATCAAACTAAATATTTTAGGACATAATTACATTTATACTTCTGTTAGTTTTGGGATATGAATCCTGCTACTCTGAGGTAGATAATACATTGCTGATTATATAGCGATCATTTTTAGATATTAATAAACCTGCATTTTGTTCCATCTTTAAAAACTGCTTAATATAAGCTATTTTTGTGGAGTGTCTCAATAAGGATATAGGAAGAGGTTGCAATGGGTAGGCCTTATTCGAGAACACCCCATACCAATCGCTGTATGGCACATGAATTCTTTTGACTAGGTTCTTCCACTCCATTATCCAAAGCATTTTAATGAAAATGAAATTTTCAAATTTCAATCTTTGAAGATTATCTTTGTTTACCTTTATATGGGAACTGCTGAGTCAAGGCCTGAACCTCTGATTGATCACCTGAGGCAAACAGTGAGTCAGCCATGGGAGCACAGGTGAAGGAAATTCACCTGTGCTGCTGGAAGGGGTGGAGCCTGGCTTCACCTCTCCTAGACCCATTTAAGAGCTGACTACCAGTAGAGAAGGATCTCTTCTGGGGATCCCTTCTCTGGAGTTTTGCAGTGAGCCTAGGATATGGGTAAGCTTTCTATCTATTTTCTTTTTGTTGTTATAGTCTGCTTTGACAAACTCTCATTTATTTCATAATTATAATGTCTTGATATTCATTAACTATACAACCCTCAATTAAGCATCGTTCTTATTTTTTATAATTCCTCTCAGGACATCTCTACATCAAATATTTAAGCCTGCTGAAACATTTCTTAACTGGTTATTACCTAACAACAGATAGGAGATATTTGTATTTCCAAGATACTTAAAATTTTTACAAAATAAAGTGCTAGTGTTTTCTGAACACCTGTAAGGAATCACAGGAAAACCAGAGTGGGATACAGTATAGGGTTGGACAATTTGCCTTTTGTTTTGCTGCGTCAGTAGAACACTTCTGAAAAGGTGTCTGCTTTTAAATGGAATCGTATCTCCCTGTACTCCATGTTCCCATCAATCCCTCTGTGATTCTAAATCAATGTTTTCCTAAAGTGTGGTAGCAATGGGGATCCACTGTGATGGAAAAAAATATGCCAAAGGTAGTGGGAAACTTACAACTTTTTTTTTTTTTCTGGTCCTGTTTAACACATTATTTTCTGTTCCTTGCTAGCACTGAAAGTGCAAATGGATGAAGACAAAATCAGACAATATAAAACAGTGTAACCTTTTCTTTGGTTGATGTTCATAAAACACTGTTATTTTAAAATTAAGGTGAAAAAATTTAGATTTTATTTTGTCTCAAAGTTCTCTGATGAGAGAGCCCAGAGCTTATGGCTTTAAATGTATGTTTACTGGGTATGTGTGTAGATAAATTATTCCTTCATTTTTAGTGTTCATTACCATGAGCTTTACAAGCAGAAACATCTGAAATGATCCATAAGTTTTCTTTCATCTGAGTTTAAGGCTGATACTGGTGAGAAAGATTACAACATTAGCTAGTCTGAAAATCTACTGAGTGTGCAAGGGTTTGCTTTTTATGTCCTGCCAGCCTTTTACCCTTCTTCAATGTAGATATCTAGGGAGATAATGGTGATATAGAAGGCATGCTATGTAGGTACTCATCTGAGTGCATGGACAGAGTAAAATCAAATATGGTTCCTGGAGTAAAGTGCAGGTGTTTGCATACATTGAATAGAGTGGTTAGACAAGACCTGATGAGGGAATGCTCCAAATGTAGACAGCGTTTGTTGTTCATTAATGTATGTATAGAGTGGGAGTGAAAAAGACCAAAGTAGAGAGAGAAAAACATCAAATCACTGCTTAAGCTAAAAAAACACAGGATGAGTGATATTTTTAGTATTCTTAGAATAATTTTCTCTAAGATCATCAGTTTGCAGGATAAGCAAAACCTTGGTAGGGTCAGCAAGCTGTACACGTACTCGGCTCATCCACCTCTGGAGACTGTGATTGAATAGAAGGATTTCCTGGAATGAAATGTGGAGAAATGTTGACCAAAACATTAATAAATGACTGCCATGTAGTTATCAAACATATGTCATTTTTCAAAAAAAGGGAAAGTAATCATGAGCCCTGTAAGTCAGTTAAAATTGTTAGTATACATTTCAATGCTCTTTTTGGTAAATGCCTAGACAATAATACAATAAAAGGAAGGCATGTCAGAGTAAGGTACAGAGTTTGAACAAAATGTTTCTGAGTTTGTTAGCTTCAGCTTGTTCTGCAGTACTGCTATGGAGATTTCTAAATCAACAAATCCAACCACAATAAGATGGGGGGGAAGGAGGAGGAAAAGTCAGGAATACCAGGGACTTGGTTTCTGTTCCCATCTTTCTCATTAGGTTTCTCTGACTGAGAAGAGGTTTTCCCTTTTTTCTTGCTAATGTTGTTGTCCTAACTATGTAGAGTGTCATGTCTACAGTTCACATATGTCCAATTTTTACATTGAGTTTTGTGCTGAGTTTTTGTGTCTCCATGAAGAGGTAACAAAGGAGTAAGAAAATTAACTGTGGTTTCTATGTTGATGTATTGCTTTTTAGATAATTATTTTAAAGTATTTTTCAACTCCTAAATTTCCAGGAAATGATTACTTCATTACCACAGAGTTACTAGCTGTTATTGCACATCTTGGCCTGTTTCCACAAAAATAGAAAGATAACTTTACCAGATACTGATGAGTCTTTTGTACAGTGTGAGCAAGTCTAGCTGAAATAATGAAACAGTATGAAAAATTATGCCATCAAAAAGTGCTTCCTTAAGAAAACACTGTGATTCTTCCTTAAGATACAAAACTTAAGTAAACTTTTTTCCACTGCATTGCTATGAAAGGAATCCTCTGTTTGAACAAGTGTTTGTAATGTTTAGAAGTACACTTTTATAAATAGTTAAATATGAACTAAATTATTTTTGTTATTTCAGAGTATGAAATGGAGAATCTTTTCTCTGCTTTCTTTCCTTTCTATTCCAAGCTTTTCAAAGCAAAATTTAACTTTTCTTTCTGGAAAAGGTAAAATGACAACAACAATAGGACTTTGTACCGAAAGACTTCTCAAAACCAGTATGAATGCATCTTGGATGCAGAAAACTAAATCTTCAGTTACCAAACAGTGAGATTCTACGCTCCTACTTCAATCAGTGGGTATCATATTAGGTGACGTAATAAAACTTTGCACACTTCATACAGTTGCTAGTTCATTTAATTGCTGGTAATAGTTACAATAGTATACAATATATAAACTGTATAAAAGAAGGATTTGTTTTCGGTATCTTATTACCATCATTTAAAACTGTTTTTGTTCCCAGATTCTCTTTATCTCTTATTAAAACTCAGTCTGGATTGTAATGATTAAGTCAAAAACCTTTCACGTTAGTCTATAAAAGGACATTTGCAAAACAGAATGGTAAATGATGTTAAAAGCATCATCTGAAAGACTGTAGGACTGGTAGCAGTGGAGGCTACAGTAAGCAGAGCAATGCAGCCATCCTGCAGTGAAATTAATTGGAGAAAACAGGAGGAAAAAAAAAATCACACTGAGCTTACATTGCAATATGATCTTGACTTCTCTAACTTCTTAGAATCATAGAATACGGAATGGTTTCAGCTGGTAGGAAACCTATGATCACCTAGTTTTAACCTCTGTAACACAAGCAAGGTCACCTTCCACTATATCAGGTTTCTTGAATTACCTGAACTGGTTTCTGGACATCTCTTCTAAAGTTTTGTCTGTAGACAAGATGACATTACTATTTCAAGTCTTCTGTCCTGACCTTATGTGTAGTTGGTATGTTAGCATTTTGAGCAGAGATCCTTGAGATAATTGGAATCAGCTTGCAACACACGTAATTGGAAGCACTATAAATAGAGTACACAAATTGGACTTCTGGCTGCTTTAGCTGTAGCAGAAGCCCTTGCAGTGCGTGCCTGTGTAAGGCCCTTTCCACGCAGCCCCATGATGAGGGAAAGCATTGAACATGACCTATTCATCAGCATGCTGGCATTTACATTATGAGGTTAGAGTAATGTGAGATGGATGACAACTTACATAATGAACTTTTGAAAATACTATTAGAAGTGATTCCAATAGGTTAATTTATTTGTTGTGGAGAATTTGATGTTAGGTCCACTGGTGAATGTGAGTACAGATTCCAAATATATTCCTAAACCTTCTTATAGAAGAGCATCTCTAGAAGAGAGTGGGAAGACAACTTTGGAAGATGAACAACTGGTCATGGAAAAAGAGGCTAGGATATAATTTCTTTTTCCTGAGAAATATTTCCCATGAGCATCAAAATTAATCATGAGCTATGATTCCCCTGTATTTCATCAGACTTACCTTCTAGTTGTAAGCTGCGTCATTTGAAAACACATTACTTTGGCAAATTCCTAGTGCAAAATAGAATAAAAGAATCAAAACAATGAATCTCAGGAGATATCATGAGGAAGAGTGCCCTTCATTTCACTGTATGGATTTTGTTCCGACTTCTAACAGTTTTCTTCCCATTTTGGATCAATAATTGATACTGTGTGAAGCAGAAAGTATTTCTGATTTTCTTAGTGTAGCCACACAGTCATAAACACATCTGCAAAACTATTTGTTAAACATAATTACTAACATAGTTGTTAGAATGCAGTATAGCAAATTTCCATTCCATTAAGGATTGATAGCTAAATATAACACAATTGAAACGCCAAATATCTGAATAATAAGCTGATATCTAAATTAGCAAACTAAATTATTAAAAAGCATGGAAACCTCTGCCTCCTACCGTGTAAAGCATACTTGCTTTGAAAAAGGAGACATCAGCTCTTACAGCTGTACTTCAGGATGTAGTTTTACTTGTTCACAGTCAACTAAAATATTACCTTTTTTTGAGTTGGAATATCATTTGCTTTCAATTTAACCTTTCATTACTCATCCTCTAACTAAAGTTAGGCTTGTTTACATTAAAATAGCAGGATTTCCTGCAATGTTAAAAACTGCATTCTGGCAAAATATTTTTAGTTCTGAGAAACAGGTCCAAACTTCATCAGCACCTGTAAGCCTCAGTTTAAATAACCATACCTGGAAAACAGTATGAATGTATTGAATTCATTCTGCATATATGCAGGAAGGATGTTTTGAAAATAAGCAGTGTGCAAGATCCTTCCCCCCCCACCCCTATAATTCCCTAACTGATAGGGAATCACAAAATTTAGGGCTGGCTGAGGTTTGCAGGGACCTTTGTGTTTCTCTGTTCCTGCCCAAGCAAGGACTCCCAGAGCAGGGTGCCCAGCACCATGTCCAAGTGGCTTCTGATATCTTCAAGTAGGAGATTCCACAGTCTCTGGCCAGTCTATGCCAGTGTTCTGTCACCAACACAGACTAGAAGTGCAGCCTGGTGTTCAGAGGGAGCTTCTGTGTGCTGGTTTGTGCCCATTGCCTCTTATTTTGGTGCTGGACACTACTGACAAAAGCTTATCTCTGTATTATTTGCATCCTCCCTTCAGGTATTCACAAACACTGATAAGATCCCCTCGGGCCTCCTTTTCTTCAGACAGAACAGTTCAGCTCCCTCAGTCTCTTGTCATAGGAGGCGGAGACGGAATGGATCTTGAACTGTTTTCAGATGTTTCTGAAGTCCTAAAATTTCTTTTCCGCTTGTCCTTGAAAAGCACATTATTCATAAGCCCTCCTGAAAAATTTCCAAAATTGAGTATTAAAACGCTTTCTGTCTTAAAGCAAGATTGAACTCACGTTTACAGTAGGATTTAAAATGTAATTAGTATTGAGCAGGAGTAGAGAAAAGTAATGTCTCTATAACAATAAGATTTACAAATGTTAGGGCAAGGGCTATCTTAGATATCAGAAACAGATTTCTACGCCTCCAGGTAAGTGCCATGCTTTGGTAAACTAATGGTTTCAGGAGGACTTCTGAAAGCTGAAGGCAGCAAATGGGAGGAAATATAATAATCCTCTAGTTAAAGTGTCATTAAAGTTAATGCCAAAAGAATACATTAAAATTAACGGAATCAAAATTTGAACGTAAAGGTGAAGGAGTCCTGAGAATAAAAAACTGTTTTAAGTTACACATTTTCTGTACTGAT